CCCCCCCCCACACCCACCCATAATCCTCCCTGCTCCTTCACACACCCTCCTCTCTGCTTCACTGCTGGTATTATATCTGTGACTGACAGGATGAAGCCATTATTATTAAATTTTATCATTTTTACTATAAAAAACCTAAACCTGTCAACTGAAGATGAAAGGAAGTGGTCCAGACTTGAACCAGTGGATCTGAGGGTCTGCAGGTTAAACTCAACCTGAGGACAGATCAAAGTTTTTATACTTCAGGATGCAGTAAAACCATCGCAGCTCAGATACARATTAAGTATTACCCGTTTATTTCATCAAAACTACAACATTAAAAGGCCCAGCGCTTCTTTAAGACGGCACGGTGGAGCAGTGGTCAGAGCGGTCACCATTCAACAAGATCACAGGTCCGACCCTCGACTTTCCTCCTGCTTTCATCAGGTTTTAGTTTCTTCCTGTAACATTCAGTCCCAGGTGTCCCTCCATCACATGTAGGGTCTCTGACGTCACTTAGTGGGAGGTTCTTGGGTGTGGGCGGAGTTTGGAAAATGTGGGTGGAGTTTGAGGGAAGTTCTTTGATGTGGGCGGAGTTTGGAAAAACCGTGATTGTTTGGGCTGATTGTGGGGAAGTTAATGGTTTTCTTACAGGAAGTGTTGACTGGTGTAATGTTGGTGTTTAATGGTTTGTAAAGTTTTGTAAACATTAAGTTTAATTTACTGAAGTCACCAGTCAGACATCTGTCCAACAGCTGGACAAACATCTTACAGAAAACAAAGTTGTTTCTGCTGGATTTGGTTGTTTTTTGTCCACTTTTCCTGCCTTTCTGTAAAATAAGTGTTGACAAAACACAACCATCCTGGTCTTCTTGTCCATCTGACATGATTTTATCAGGTTTAGATGATTTATTTATGCTCTGATTCTAAAATCTTTAAAACATAAACTGTTYCTTTAATTAAATCAGCTCCACTTTYAACCTATAACCTAACCCTTCAAGCTGTTTTATCACCAAAAATTATTAACGTGTGTTTGTGTTAGCAAAATATCTCCTGAATCATATAATCCAAGTGCTGACAGATCATGTGGCCGTTAATGCTGCAATTACCCAGAATTGTTAATTTAATCTTAATTTATTAGTTTAAATTAGTTGGATGTGATCAGTAAAGTCTCCTTCTATCTATCTATCTATCTATCTATCTATCTATCTATCTATCTATCTATCTATCTATCTATCTATCTATCTATCTATCTATC